ATGCGCAGCAGCAAGAAGGTTTCGGTCATCCCTTGAGGGTGAGTCTAGCCCTGCTCGCCAGAAAGACCCCCCCCTTCACTACAACCCATGTCTAAGCAAAAGCTTGTCGAGGAGCGAGGGGAAGAAGGGAGAGTAATAGTAATAGTAATAAACAGTACTTTGTAGTAAATAGATAAACTAACGTATGTCGGTTATTGCATACTGCTTAAGCCTTTCTGCACGTATACTTGTTTTTCCTAAATACTGCTGTAAAAAGCCCCCCTCGAACGACTATGAATTTCGCTCGAACAGGGAGCTTTTTTTATGTGTTTAACGGGTAGTCTTTCTGTGTACATATTTGTTTTTCCTAATATATGTATTTTTCTAAATTAAACCAGCAACTACTGTCAACATGACATATTGCGCCGTGTTCACTGTGCAGGCCACATGTAAATGTACCTGCGCAGATGATTTTGTGCTAAGCACCAACTGGTATCACTGATATAAATCATCAGTGTATAGGCTTAAACAAACTCGAAATAAGTCAAGTACCCAGCTGGTTTTCGTCTACTCACTGTAAAGACTTCAACACATCCCCTTCGAGTGTAGTTATACCTCGAACGGGTAGTCTTTCTGTGTGTATATTTGTTTCTCCTAATCTTGTGCGTGCACGTGTGCACACGTGCACACCGCTTGTGCAACTCCCAACGGAGGCTTTCATACGGAGCGACGGGGTGGACATTCCTACACAGCAGTACAGGGTAGCACATCTGCTCACATGATGTACTTTATGTTAGCTGAGAGAAAGCACACCCAACCAAGGCTTCCAGTTTCCATGCCAGAATGACTCCGTCCTTCGTAGCGGCCTTCTCTTCTTTAGGATTCCTCGCCCCGAGCATTGCGTTCAATCCTTTGCCGATTCCCTTGAACTCTCGCGGTGCATCGTTCAACATCCAGATGTGTACTGGGAGCCGAGCACACTTCGTGAGAACGTGTTCTGCAGCTACAATTGCGGTTGTCTCCACGCAAGGGCCGAGTCCTTCTGCCGCAACTACTCCTACGACAGTGGTGAGCAATACGCGAGCATGGAGAGGTTTGGAGTAGACGATTCACAGGTCTGCCAGCTCTCCCTGACGTTTCGGGGAACACACAAAACAAAATGTTTAGTCTAGACTTTTTTCTTTCTTCTACAATACAGCAATACAGAACGCCATATGTTTTAGCACAGCAGTAGCTCTTTTTTTGGCCGAGGCTCGTTTCTTATTTTGTTTTTGGACCCCCACAGGGACCACATGGCTTTCAGTGTACGGTTCTTGGCTGAGCACCTGACCAAAGTTATTAGATGTTAGATTGAAGACAACTCCTTCTGACGCTGGCGCTTTATGCATACTTCAAGTACTTGTCCAACAACACTGCATGTAGACACACACAGAGGTGCAACCGCCGTTTAGGAGGGTTCTTAACGAGATTTGTTCTGTTGGAATATGCCGACATGCGCCCTACTTTTTCGGAAAATGCCGATTTCTTGTCGGAAAATGCTGAAAATGAAGCGTCGGAATTTTTCGGGCGCCGCTTCATTTTCGGCATTTTCCGAAGAGAAACTCCGAAATGACTCCGAAATGGGAGCACTCGAGTTGCACTGCAGTCGCCAGCACGCTGAGCACCCTCTCGCACTCCAGATCTCGGGGACAGTCCCCAGGTGGCTTGCTTGTGTCGCCTGTAAGCTTGTAGACCATGGATGGTCACGGAAAGCGCTGTGGATCTGCAGATTTCGCGGAGCAAAGGCGGCGAAAGCGTCGCAGCCTGGAGATGAACCCGCTTTCCGTGATGCGGGCGATGGCTGCTGCGGTGGTTGTCGTGGTAGCAAACCCGGCGACCCCGGCAGCTTGCGACAGCATCGTAAGGGGGCATCGCGAACCCTCCGCTTCTACGGCAGCGGCGGGGGCGGCCACGCGCAGCCGGCGAGAGGCGTGGCTCGGGAGAGGGTCGCGGCCGCGGCCGTTGTCATCATCAACGGCGGCAGCAGACTGCTGCAACCCATGACCCAACCCATGACCACAGGCAGCACCACTTTCGCCTGTGTTGTCGTATCTCGCGGGTCGGCGATGGCCCCTCGGCGGCCTGCCGCCGGTAGGTCCGCTGTTCTCGTCGCTCTGCATGTTTGTACGCTGGCGCTGCCGCCTGCCTGAAGGCTGTGGTGTGTAAATGCTGTACGTTTTCAAACCGAAAAGTCTGAGAAATTCAAAAAATGGACCGCCTGACGTTAAGAAACGTCAGGCGGTCCGTTCGGATTTCTCCGAAAGCCAGTCGGCATATTCCAACAAACCGAAGAATCGTTAAGAACCCTCCTTAGACTAGATCTTACGCATTCTACTTCGATCAGTTGATGACACCATGAAGAGGCGTCGTGTGTGCTGGCACGCGCGTTAAGGTTTGCTGCTGGAGCTGAAGAATCGATTACATGTAGCTAGTCTAGGCCGCCATGCATACTACGACCCTCGATATCACCACCCAAGAAGCAGATTTGAGCGCGCCAAAGTGCACACAATTCCCGCTGCTTTCATCAGAAAAATGCGTAAGATGGAATGCAAAACCGAACTCATCTGAGCGCCTGCCGTTATGACTCTTTTGGCTTGAATGTTGACTGGTGTGAATTTTAGCTTGATTTTAATGGGGGCGTGTGGCGGTAGACTGCATGATACGTGTGTTCAGAGCAGCCTCTACTGCCACCCTGTGCGAGAATCAATGGTCTCTGTTTTTCTCGAAGTCTTCCAGCTGGTCTCGTGTGTCTTGTGTGCATTTTCTGGTGCTCTTGCACTTTTTTTTCAAAAACCGGTCAACCTCAAAATAGGCTGCCTTCAATCCCTTGGTGGTGACGCGTGCTGTAGTATGGTCAAATCGACTTCTACTACAGTTATGTGCTACCATGTGCTATGCATGAACTGTTCGGATTCACAAGCACACCAAGTAAGTGAAAAAGCTCTTGTGTGACCCCGGCTGATACGTCACAATTAACACCGAAAGGCGTTTAGACTGGCGTCAGAATAGATGGGGACGAATACACACACCCACACATTGGTAAAAATCCAAAATGGAAATTTCCCCATGCCGAGACGTCCCATCAAGCATCGGACCAGCCGCACACCTGTTGAACATACTATGAGGCTGGCAATTACACAACAGCTTGGACGCCGATGCATGTTTTGTCCTACATACGAGATCATCCGCCACACACGCAGAGAGGAGCGCGGTCGATACTGTACTCAAAAGACACAGAGAAGCTTGTGAAATCAGTTAAGATGGTTTCTACGTAATCCACACCGATCACGCCACACATGATCATCAGACCGTAAATAGACATACCTAAGGATCGCCTGATGTGAACACTCGAGGGGCGAACGTGGAGGTTGAGAGTAAGTATAGTTGATGGCTGCTGGGGAAATTAGACAGCACTTCGATCCGATCAACACTGGGCCCGGCTGAAGGTGGGGGTTGTGATATTTTTACGAAGCAGGACACACCGTTGCGTCTACTATTTTGCGTTGCCGGAGGATGGTGGCGTTTTGTTGGGTTGTGCGTCTCCATTGTAAGGGTGAAAACCAAATTCCACCAAATCACTGAGGAACGAGGGCCCATCTGCAAGGGTAGACGGAGATCTGGACCAAAGAAGGCGAATCGGGAGGCATGACCCGTACTTTTTTAGTTTGTGCAAGATGTTCAATGATGTTTGAAGGTCGTGATATTGCGCAATTCCGACATCTTTGTTGTTGGAGTTGTTGATCTGGCGAGCATGCTGAGCGAAAACTATGTTTGATTCAGTCCACCGAAGGACGAAAACAATACGGAAACAAAATAAATATGATCGTATTTGAGGTCCAGATGGTAGGAGAAAAACACCAAGTTCACAGGACTAGAGCAGCTGAGAGCAATGCACACGGCACAGCAACTACAACACCCCCAATGTGCTTATGAATGCAGAGTGTATGAGATACAAGCCACAAATAGGAGATGAAGGGTATTTGCCAAAGAAAAACGAAAGGAAGGGAATATTCTGAGTAGAAGTTGTCGCTACACACGCATGCAGAGGCTAACAGGACGTCCGAATGTTGGTCGAGTCTCCTCAAATGGCAATAGGGGCCATGTTCCGTCTCCGTGCGTCAGCAGTCAAATGCAAACACCAGCGGTCAAATGCTACGGTTTGGGTTAAGGTGTACCCCGAGAACTCCTCTTTGTGAAGCAGCAGCAGAGGACGATTGATTTTGGCTCATGAAGAAAATGACAAGACCTGGAGCACCGCGCCAACATCACGCGTCCCGTGTAGCTATCAGAGAGAGAGCATTTGAATTGACTGCTTGAACGGACAAACGGTGCTCCATCTTGAACAGCGCGCAATTTTTTTGTTGCCATAGTCGCGACCGAAGAGCCTAATGAAACAAGGAACTCCATGACACCAAAGCTTGCACGTTCTGGCCGTGCGCTCTTCTCTGAACCTTCCCGCCTCTCAAGCACCCTTGTCGGCGCTCAAGGTTCTGAAGTCCGACGAAAACTGTTTTTGTCACCACTCGTTTCTGTTGATCACCTGTTCCTTCCCTGCTCTCTCATCCGCTAGGTAAATAGCGTGCTCTCCGCGTATGGCATACCTATGATCGCGGAAGATGGTGGTTTCACCTCCTCATACGTCAAAGTGGAGGATAATGGGCAAGAGACAGTGTGTGCGTACGCTTATCCGGTCGGGTGGGTGGAAAAGAAGAAGGCGGATGGGTTTGCGACGGCTGCCAACTACCAAACAGGGGATAGCTTGAGCTTGAACATGGGTGCACCAAGCAAAGCCAAGACGATAGGAGACGTGAGTGCGCTCGCCATCGCAGCAGAAGCAACGCCGTCTGAAGGAGCTGCAAAGGTGAACGTGGGTGTGTCGCTGCCATTTGCAGACATACCGAAAGTGCCACCTGGAATGGAGTGGACGCATCTCCTACAACTTCGCACTACCCAAGCGTTGCCCGGGGCATTCTCTAACATGGTGCTGCGCCCAACTCAGCATTACACCTGATACATGTTTTGACTTTCAACCCCAGTTCATCACCGACCCCGAACTCTTGCGAACCTCGATCGAATCAGGTCCTGCAGGAAAAAGCTGTGACCAAAGGAGGGGTCAACTACACATACTTGACCGTCAAGTACAACACTGTCACGAGATCAGGCTACGATGTGGAAAGAGTATCATACATAGCGGCTACCGTGAAACAGCGGAAGCTCTTGACTCTGGTCGCGACTGTCTCGGGCGAGCGACGCAACAAAATGGACTTGATTTTAAAAGCCATTCAAGCGTCATTTCGAGTTGGGGATGTGGGCGTGGTTGAGACTTCTTCGACTGACTTCAACATTAAATAGCTTCCATGTGCTCTGATATCACGGGTAGGAATGAAAGCCTCGAAATGTCTACTGTACAGCTAGTAAAGTGGTGTAGTAGATCACGCACGGGTGTTTTACACTTTTATTTATCCGGACTACTTGCGCAAGAGAAAATAGTAGCTGTCGGAGCGACGACCACAGTGAAGCAGGGACTTACCAATACGCCATGACTCTCGCGTAAAGCCTCACCAGGGCGGGTGCCCTCGGTTTGTATATTGTGGTCAGAAGCTTTGAGTGAGATTCTTTCGGGCTATAAATAATGTTCAATCTGTCGTTGATGATAGCTCAGCCTCGAGTGTATCACCTGACTCATGTCCCTCTTTTTTTGTTGCGGAGGTGGTTTTGTCTTTTTCTTTCCCATCCGCCTTTTGTTTTCTTTCTGGACGGTCGATTTACTCGAAGAACATTCCTTTTTCGAGCGGTTCACTATTATGTACGTACCTGTCTGTGTTGTGGCGGGCCGGCTTTCTTCGTGATAAAACTGATTGATATGTCCGTGTCTTTGCCGTCGAAGAGTAGAGTTAGAGGAGTAGTCATAGAAGTAAGAACGTTTTTTATCTTCTGTGGACGACGGCGACAGCGAAACAACGTGCAAGATCACGTTATCTCTCGGGCACATGGTAATTTTACACGTAATCGTTTGCATAAGCCGGTCGCCCCGGTATTCTAGTTGATATTCCGAAAGCCTTCAATTGCCACGGTCAGGGGTGTTCGAATCCGGGGTAAGCGAGCTTTTCTTGCAACGTGAGTTTTTCTCTCGCTTCCGTTCCCGGTCTGGGTGGAAAGCGCTCCATGTAGTAGTTCGTGTGTACAGAGGAAAGAGATTGCTGCACTCTTCTCGAATTAAAAATCAAAGGCAAAGCACCGCAGAAGGGATGGGTAAGGGGCCTCAGGGAGATGAACCCTTTGTGTGACCACGGGTTAGGAGCAAACGGCGCAAATGCAATGTGAGCGCTGATTTGAAGTGACGACAACAAAAAATTCGAGCGTGCGGGGAGTATTCCATTTGATTGCGGATCATCGCCCAGTGATATTTCTCTCTATACCAGAGAATATCCCCTTGCGTACAGCAAAGTCTACGATGTTTGTTTGTAATGCACGCACTTTCACTTCAGTCTTGTCTGATGTTCAAGAGAGAGTAGACTGTTGTTCGAGACTGCTCGTGAGTACTCGATGGTAGACTGCTGTTGTATGTTCGGATGATGGGCGGTCGATCTCGTCACTCAGCACTCGCCCACGCCAATAAACATGTGCAGCTTCACGTAACTCCCAGAATATAGACCACCTCACAGAGTCTACAGTGCACCACACGTACATGTGTTCGCAGAGATGAGGCTGTGTGCAGTAGTCGGACTCCCGCAATACACAACTCAACCCTGCACAACAAAAATTCAAAAATTCAACGAAACTTCCATTTTTATGATAAAGCGTTTTGAAGAAATTTGGAGGGATTCCTCTCAGCCGGCCGTTTCATTTTTGTGTGCATGCGGTGCCTCTTTTGATCTCGTCGGTTTTCCCTTGCGGCCCGTCGGAGGTAGTAACACCATACAGCCATACCAGGGTCGCTTCACGGGTCGCTTACACGCTGACAGTATCGGTCTGGAAGCGCTTGAGAGCGAAGTCGGCGTCGATAGGTGCCATGGCGACAGAGCTTCAAACATGTGACTTCGGCGCTATCGAGGAGATGGATCCATCGATCGGTGAGTCGAAGCTCGGAGACAAACACGTGACACGTACCGCATTTACTTTATTTAGAACCTCAGCATGCTAGAGTTTTACGACATGATAAAGCGACTGTAATTTCCTGGAGCTATTCCAAAAGTTCAGAGTATGCAAAGGTCGAACGGCGCTGGTGGTTTGGATCGGACAGCAGCAACAGCAGCAGTACACTACAGAACGTGCCCGCACTTGCGTAAGAACCCAGGCAAATCAACCCCTCCACTAAAACCGAGTAAATAGCGACCATTCATACATAGCATGACTCTAGGAACTAAGAAGCGGGTGCGTTCTGTATGGCACAAGGTACTTCTACACCACACGTACACTCAGTAGAGCATCCCTCCTTTGCCCACACCGAGAACCTGTAGTCTATAGGCGAATGTACTGCGAGGCCTGTGTACTCGGAGAGTCTTCACAAAACATCCACAGGGGATAGTATAGTAGGACATGCAAGCGGCGTCTGCTGTGCTTCAAAGGCTGTGGTCATTGATCGAGCTAAAAAAGCTGCCGATGTTTTGGAACGTTTACCGCCCATCGTCTGGGCTGGACCTTGTGTCGTATTGCGTGATACAAACGTGAAGAATTGTGTAATGGATGGAGTGCGCTCTTTATCAACTTGCATCAAGTATTGATGCATCCTGCTCTGGCATTGTCATCTGTCTCGTTTAGCGGACGGCTTTCGGGTCATCTACGACCGAGAAGTCCCGTTTGAGCTGCGGGTTCAGGAATCAGCCGACGGGCCGCAGCAAGTTGGTACTCTGGAGGCGATCAAGGTTAAAGTTCTTATGCTGGTGAGCAACATAAAATCACCTGATGATGCAAGTATGCATGACCTTCATCACAGATTCTCGGTGCAGTTTTTTCCTTCAAGCTACAGCAGTACATGAACGCATGCAGCTGTGTGGGAGGCGCGTAAACCGAAACTGTGAAGAAAGTCATAGAGAGAGGTTCTCGGCTTCAAACCCCAAGGGTCTCTCTCATGTAGACTAGAGTAGAAAGGAAATGCTGCGTTTATTGAACCCCTGGGAAAGAATGCCCTACATAGCACTGAAGTACATGGGTTGGGCCAAGGGTCTGAACAGTTGGTAGCTCTTATTTATTGTACGAGCGCCACCGACGATGCAATCCGTATCCATCCGAACCCCTGTTTCGTTGAACCCTCAGGGAGATGATGCCGCGCCTCAATCTGTTCGGGTTGAATTGTCAAGTGAGGCTGACCTCTTCTTTCATTACACACACAGCATCGACGACGCTTTGTTTCAGGTAGGCAACGTGTTCGCTAACCCAGGCATGCCTCCTTCGCCAGTGATGTCCACATGCATGCATACAGTGCGTCAACACGTGCCATATCAAATGGTATCCAATAGTCGAGACGTGTGCGTTCATGTACCATGAGCACCACCAACGCCCTCCCTCAGTGTCTGAAGCACCAAGCACCGCACAATTCCCTGGAATCTACTGTATAGGAGAAAGCACGTGGTCAATCGACAAACAACCGCACCACCAGTAGTATTTGTAGCCCACGCCTCGGCCGTCCGTGGTGCAAACATCGCGTAAAAACAATGCCTCCGTGAAGGGCATGCCAACCGAGAACCATGGGAGCGATCGGACTGTTGCGTTTAGTATATTCAATAATATTATATGTGACATCTATCTCTGTATTCAAATGCAACGCAGGTAATGCAAGAGGAGCAAAAACTGATGGTGGAGTTCCAGGACTACCCGAACGTTCTTATCCGGATGTTGAACAACTGCATCAAGGAGCCCCATTCGCACCTCGTCGTTTTCGTCATGCAGCACGACGTCAACGCTCGCCTGGATTTCATACAGGTGGTTGATTCGGGGTCGGCAAGAAGTATTTACTCGCAAAACAACCGTGAGCGCATGTGCCCATTCAGGGACTTGTTTCACCTGCACGCCGAATGGATGACTACCTCGCGATCAACCAACTACAACGGGTTTGTTCGCAGGCCTATTTAGAACACCCTTCGACCACCATTCGACCGCTGAAACGATGCACATACAGAGTACATCGTTTAACGGCGAGAGCTGCCATATCGTAACCTGAAGCATGCCTTGCCAACACGCATGCGTCTTCCTTCAACACAGAATATGGAGTACAAATTTGTGGAGCTGATGTCCCTGCAATACACGAGATCTGCGGAAGACATGGTGCAACATCAAATCACCTACAGATACAACGCGATGAAAGTGAGTCAAGCTTTTTTGCGAAGACAATACCCTGGCCAGGCTTGGCGACCAACTGGAAAAGGGAGGAGCAACCTCGTGTCATGTTTGTTACAAACACCAGAGTTAGCGGTGGTGCTACACGCTACAAACTATATGTCAGCATTACCTGGTGGTTCCCTTTCAATGTGTCCTATGTAATCAACGGGAACCGGGTGCGTCCACTGCCCCTTACATTGCGGAACGATCGCCTCGAGGCGGCCCTACTGTTAAGTCCCGCAACATGCTGCTGTTGATATTTGCGTCGAATCGAGAGACCCAAACGACGCATTTCGCGTCCCCTGTTGCCCCGACCAACCAACCGCCCCCTCCGCCCCACCCCAATCTGTTCGCAAGGGCTGCGCTACCTACAGTTGTGTCCCTGTTTTAAATACTCAACATGTTCCTTGGCGCTTGCCTCTGTTTCTTTGTGTTTGGTCCTCTATACCGTGTTCTACGTTCTACGTTCTCAGTCAAGGCTTGCCTTGATGCAGGCACGCCTCCAGGAGGTGAACAACCTTGTCAAGTTGAAGAACCCGTCCCTCCTTCTACAGTTGCAGTCTCGGTGACGGTACAAGCAGTTTTGCGCAGCTATAGCATGTCGGGCCTTTAAGAGGAAGCAAGATAGAATTATGTCGATTTCGGCACTCCTTTTCGAAGGCAATTGTTGTAGGCTGTGGGTAAAGAGATTAGAAAGACCGATCAACACAATCAGCAACCACGTTTTCGGTAGGGAGTAGTTTCCGTTGTCGCGGCTACCCCGACTGCTCCCTTTGTATCGACACATGGGCCACGCGTTGTCGAGGGTGGCCTTCGTGTACAGTGTCTGACATCTATTTCTACCTCGTAGGTTTTGCGGGACTCGGTATTGCAGTGGAGTGGACTTTCGCCATCTGTCTGCGAGGTATCAGGGGAAGGGTCTCCCGCCAAACCGCTGTTACGGTGAAAGACACACGCTTCGTAGAAGATTTTTTAACCGAATGGGTGCAATCAACGGCTGCTATGGTCCAAGCCTCAAGCACTGCTGTAAAGAAAGCGAATCTTGGAGTTAAATAGGTGGCTGCGGCTTTCTCCCCGGGGTCAGATTCGGCGCATGGACCACGCCAGACATAAATCAACTCAACTTCACGACGACTTCTAGCTAACGTACGCAGTGGGGTGGTGCAGAAGAGAGAAAAGCACAGCACAAATGATACACAAATGGTGGCGAAGATCAAACGCAACCAACAAGGCGCCGAACCTGTCCAAAACTAAAGCGGTGTCTCAGCCACCGTCGCCTCGACGGTCTGAATTTACGTCGCCTCCTAGAGCGATATAGAAAAGATGCAAAATGACGCAATACACCAACCACGTGGGGACGAGCGAGCGGTTCAAGTCCTGTCCCGCTGCCCGGCTTTACTGCTACTATACTTCACCCAGGAAAACTCGTTCACACCAACAAATCGCAAGGCGCCCATGTATGAAAACACATCGTGCACAACTGGGGAACATCTTAACTCACAACACAATCATCATCATTGTAACCCAGCAAAAACGCAACGGCAACTGGTGAAGCTGCTGTTATCTACAGCAAAACTACAACCCGGGGCAATCTATTCTGTGTGGGTCTCCTCGATTCACGCAAAACCTGAACACTGAACTCAAAAACAAGATATACAGCGATCGAGAATCTGCTCGTGGGTGAAAAACATAGGCATTTTCCATTCCAGTATACAAGCCAAGATAGATTACATGGCACGAGCAGGACAAGGACCATCGAGACCCTAAAGACACACTTTTGCGCTTCGATCGAATCAAATCGTCATGTTGATCACGTTACTAGGAGTGAGTCGTCGCCTTCGATAGAAAAGAACGTAGGCCGCGTCAGAGACGATCTTGTCTGGGGCCATCTCCTGCGGGGTAAGTGAACATCAACATGAGAGCAACACGAGGGAAATACCGGACATCGGACAGTGGAAGATGACAGCACCGGCGATGTCAGTGTCGGAATGTTTCGCGTTGTTCTTTCGTGGCAACACTTTGAGGGCTGGCGTTTCGTAGAGTAACGACGGGGATTCCAATCACCCCCGTCAGCGGTGATGGGACACGATCCTGCCGCAGCAGTACAGAAAAATCAAGTGCTTCGAAGTAATATATTCTAGTACCAAATGACAAAGCAGCGGGTGTATGTCCCATGCAAGAGGCAAGAAAGCTGCCCTTCACATGTCTTGTTTGTCGTATCAAACCTGCCGAGCAAAACATGTCAACAAAAACCGCGGCATGGTAAGTAAGCACTTGCCTCCACAAACTCGTCGTCGAAGTTGAGCCACGGGTGCTCCAGGCCCCAACCAGTAACTTCCTCCACGCCGTCCTTACTGCAAGGCGAAGAGCGGCAGTAGGCCGTGTAGTGCCCCCCAGTCATGCCTCCCATGTGGTTCACCACGCCGAAGAGGTCATAAACCATGCCTGCCTGTCCTCCGCCCGCCTGGAAATGTATATAGACGGACAGAAGGACCGAGTGAGAGGCAACATCGATGTAGAGAAAATGCGGTGCTGCCAGGAGGCTACAGGATGAGCAGCCAGTTTGAGTACTGTCATGCCCTCCAAAGAAAGTGCATGTACAGTGTAAAGATACAACAAGATCACATTTCAATATTTTTTTGAAGGGACTCCCTAGACTTCGTGGCACAGCCTTTGCCGCAGTAGCTTCAAACCCATATGCTATTCTTCGGCAAACGCGGTTATACCTGGCACAGAAACTCGTTGAAATCACGCTATCCGCTCCACAAGAACCGCCCGGAATACTTGCAAAAAGTACAGCAGCGCAGCAATAAGTAGGTAAGCCCTTCCTTGCGACCAAACCAGATAGACAACTCTTTCGCTGTGATTCTGCTCGGCAAACCAAGGACGGGTGGGTGTGATACACTTGCCTGATTCCGGTGAGCGGAGTTGGACGACACGAAGCCCGACATGTCGAGACCGGAATGCGGGAACAGCACCAGGGTCCTGATCTTCTCTCGCCACCGGGCGGAGCAGTGGAAGCGCTTCATGTGGATAACCTAACCAAGTGTAGAGGAGAACGGGCCTACAGTTCAGAAATACTTGGTTGAGAAGCAGAGGCAAAAACAATATCACAAAAAAAAATAAAAAGGGATCACAAACACAGCTCAGGGGTGGATCCTAGACTACACTGGTACCCCTAAGACAACAACCTGTGCTCGACAGTGGCCATGAAATAAGAACTGAGGGTCGATCAGATGTTGGCGTTTCTTATCTCCGGGTCCGCTCTGTGTGCCCAAACGAGCAACGTGACAGAATGTCTTTCGCGGTGCATCAACACCCATTTTCCCCCAGTCACACTGCCAAAGAGCTTCTCCAAGAACTAAGACCATAAACGGCAACACAAGTGCTCACGGGTCACAAGGAACCCCGCTTGAGTAATATTGTACGGAGGTTGTTTTGTGCACGCTTCTGAAACATTTCGGTGCCGTCAGGGACAAAAGGAGCACTTGGACACGAAACAAAGCATAACACGATCCCACCCACTTCATGGTGTCAATGAGGTTTCGGTGCTCCATCGTTCCAAGGGTGTTGCCAAGCTCAGAATACTCCCCATTACTGAATTCAGTGGCACCTACGCTCCCAAACCGTCCGAACAGGCCCCTGAACGCGAAAGAAGCCACCTTCGCGCTAGTCTTTTACTGCCATCCTGCATCGAGTCTCACCAGCACGTCAGGCATCTTCCAAAGGTCGATCTTCATGACCCCTCTCCTGTGCGCCTGGCAGCTGGAACAGTACCACGAGTCCTCCTCCTCTAACGTCTCCTCTCTCGTGTAAGCATCCAGACACTGCTCCAACGTCAGCCCGGAAAGGACAGACTATCCACAGACATGCCGCCACAGGAAGCACGAAGCGGCAGAGCCGCCACAGAGACGCAGAGTGGGCACGGTAAAGTGGGTCCATCAAGAGGTCCAAAAAGTGTTTGATGCTAGGCCATGTGTGCATCCTGCGATGGCAAGAACTGGTGTTGGTACATTCTTACCAGTTCAATATGCAAAAAAATAAACGTTTGCTTCTCTCCGTCGCTGTGATAATTGTCTGAACGTCTAGACTATCGTTTCACCCAACGGGCAATCGGTGCGTGAGTCCCAGATACAACACCGCCACCATTTGTGACTCTACTTCCTTTGTTCATTGAACCACCGGGTCAGTGACAGCGTCTCCTCGACAAAACAACGTGCAACCATATTTGTTAATCCTGTGGCTTGTATAAAGAGAAGGAAGGAAGCATTGTTGCCGGCGCTGGTTGCATATATCACCTGCGCGTTGTTCTCGAGCTCCAGGTATGACGGGTGTTCGAAGGTGGCGGCGAGCACATCAAGGTAGTCCCTCGCGGGATCTTTCCACTCTAGCGCCAGGATGAGCTGAGTGTGCAAATGCCGAGCATGGCGAGAACACACCACATACAATACATCGGTCAACACAAAACGACTCAAAGAAGGAGGAAAGAGGAGTGCTGCCCAGGACGACCGAATCATTCTTGTATTTCAAACAATGGGTGAGGCAATCGTATAAGAGGAATTGATCGAAATACACGGTAAAATCACCGCACCAGGATGCGCAATTCTTCGAATGGTCTTCTGGTGTGTCAGAGCTGACCTAACTCGACACCATCGCAAAGAATGAAGCTGTGGTCATAATCAAAACGACGCGATACACTCCACAAACAGACGGCCGAAATCCCAAAGGCTTACCTAAGCTACTCTCACAGAAACATGAGTCGAACTCCGAATGTAGTAAAAAAACACTTGACAACTTCGGCGAAATTATAAACGTCTAGCCCTCTCTAGGAACTTTGAGAGCAAACCGAAACCTCCACGGCAGGATGCGTTGGTACACCAACCAAAGCTGCACACACCTTCGTACACAGCAAGGACGATGCCGCCCGCCACTTATCGGGGACAAGGTCCACCGAACAGACCTCCGTGAGGGGGTTTTGCTTCAGCACGAACTTGACCGTGAAGGGAAGAAGTTGCGCCAGCTTTTCGTCGGTGATGTCACGCTCCAACCCCGCGGCCGCACGCGCTACCCAGGCAGCCGTAACGTCCGGCCGTTGACTTCTTGGTCGCCAGTGTACGAACGTCCCAACAGGCAAAGCAGGCGGTCACGAAAGGTATTGCGTGGGTTGTAGGTCACGAAAGGTATGCATCGATACATATCACTTCGAGGTCACTTTTGAGTAGCGAGAAACGGTGAGAGACATGGCCGAAGGCAAGCCCAAAGGAATCGACTTGGAGGTGACCTTGGTACTGCAGAGCCTACGATGTACATGGTAATGTACCTCGAGCCTGAAGAAGCTCTAGCGATCCTGTCTTTGCCCCCTGCCTTGAAGCTTCTGCCGCCAGAAGACCCCGCGACAAACCTCGACGCTTGCTGCACCACGAGACGCCAGAGGTATCGGGTGGATCGTGCCGGAGGGCATCTAACAAGAAAGGGCAACCCGAACAAATCCTTCACGGGAGTACAACCCGCAAGACGAGAGATAGAGAAGGAGAGGTAGGGAGAGACCATTGAAGACAACAGATTAGTGACATGGAACAAGAGGCACCGAGAGAGAGAGAGAAGGGTTCACGGCATGATAAAACAACATGGCATGTGTGGTAGTTGTTATGCCCGACAAGCTCACCCCGTGGACAGGCCGCTTTAATATGTGTCAACCAATAACCTACGCATGAGCTGCTAGACTGGAGAGCAGCTCCCCAAGCAGGCACTAAAACACTCTCGTAATACATTGCCTGTACTGAATATAAAAGGGCCCTCCCGGAATAAGCCGAAATACCCAGAGTGAGCAAAGAAACCAGTGCTTCAGTAGTCTTCTAAGACCATATGCATACAACACTTTTTGTGCGTTTCAACTTCCGCACGAACACCCAGCCGACCTGCCTGCAGCAGTCGCCAAAGCCATGCGCACGCAG